GGCGCCCCATGTTATGGTCGGCGGCGTACAGTTATCAGAGCGTGTAGATCACCTCACCCGACACCGCACCCATTAAAACTCGCCTGGGAATGGAAACTCGACGCTTGAAGGTGGTGGTAGACTGTTTACAAATATTGTGGTATTAATAATGTGTGTGGGTGGGTGGCGCTGGCTCCCCCGGCCAGCCTCCACACTCACTGCTCGCTATACAAACATTATCACTCACAACTCTCCTGGAAACACCTGCAGAATTTGGTTTACACAATCATCAACAGCAGTTTACACGCGGTAACACGTGCATGTTGGGGGGGGGGGGGTTGAGGGAGGTGGTGTAGGGCCGGCCCTGTGACGTCACCAGCCTCCCTTGTAAACACCGTACAGGCCGCCTGTCCTCGACACTCATATAGTGAGAGAGGGGGAGAGGCAGTGTTGGTGAGAGGCAGTGTTGGTGAGAGGCAGTGTTGGTGAGAGGCAGTGTTGGTGAGAGGCAGTGAGGGTGAGAGGCAGTGTTGGTGAGAGGCAGTGTTGGAGAGAGGCAGTGAGGGTGAGAGGCAGTGTTGGTGAGAGGCAGTGTTGGTGAGAGGCAGTGTTGGTGAGAGGCAGTGTTGGTGAGAGGCAGTGAGGGGGAGAGGCAGTGAGGGGGAGAGGCAGTGAGGGGGAGAGGCAGTGTTGGTGAGAGGCAGTGTTGGTGAGAGGCAGTGTTGGTGAGAGGCAGTGAGGGTGAGAGGCAGTGAGGGGGAGAGGCAGTGTTGGTGAGAGGCAGTGTTGGTGAGAGGCAGTGAGGGGGAGAGGCAGTGAGGGTGAGAGGCAGTGAGGGGGAGAGGCAGTGAGGGGGAGAGGCAGTGAGGGGGAGAGGCAGTGAGGGGGAGAGGCAGTGAGGGGGAGAGACAGTGAGGGGGAGAGGCAGTGAGGGGGAGAGGCAGTGAGGGGGAGAGGCAGTGAGGGGGAGATTCAGTGAGGGTGAGAGGCAGTGAGGGTGAGAGGCAGTGAGGGTGAGAGGCAGTGAGGGGGAGAGGCAGTGAGGGGGAGAGACAGTGAGGGTGAGAGGCAGTGAGGGTGAGAGGCAGTGAGGGGGAGAGGCAGTGAGGGTGAGAGGCAGTGAGGGTGAGAGGCAGTGAGGGTGAGAGGCAGTGAGGGTGAGAGGCAGTGAGGGGGAGAGACAGTGAGGGTGAGAGGCAGTGAGGGTGAGAGGCAGTGAGGGGGAGAGGCAGTGAGGGTGAGAGGCAGTGAGGGGGAGAGACAGTGAGGGTGAGAGGCAGTGAGGGGGAGAGGCACTGAGGGGGAGAGGCAGTGAGGGTGAGAGGCAGTGAGGGGGAGAGGCAGTGAGGGGGAGAGACAGTGAGGGGGAGAGGCAGTGAGGGGGAGAGGCAGTGAGGGGGAGAGGCAGTGAGGGGGTGAGGCAGTGAGGGGGAGAGGCAGAGGCGTAATGAACGGTAGAGAGAGCGATAAGGGCCGCAGGAACGACGAATGTGAGCGATAAAGAGATACGTCCCGTCCTTACTCTATGGCCATTCCATCCAGCGGTCGACCCCCAAAGACGCATTCATCAATCTTAACATGCTCTTCATTTAAACTAGAAGTTTTCTCAAATATATATTAATATTGTAATATATTAGCATACTGTGTATATTTAGGCACTGGTTAGGTTAGGTGTTTAGGTTCTGTTGGCGATTATTTGTAGTACGTGGGTGAAGCATTTACAGCGTTGTGGTTCGAACAAAAGTTGTCAGCGTAGCACTGGGCAGCCATAGCACTGGGCAGCCATAGCACTGGGCAGCCATAGCACTGGGCAGCCATAGCTCTGGGCAGCCATAGTGCTGGGCAGCCATTGTGCTGGGCAGCCATAGCACTGGGCAGCCATAGCACTGGGCAGCCATAGCACTGGGCAGCCATAGCTCTGGGCAGCCATAGTGCTGGCCAACCATAGTGCTGGGGCAGCCATAGTACTGGGCAGCCATAGTACTGGGCAGCCATAGTGCTGGGCAGCCATAGTGCTGGGGCAGCCATAGTACTGGGCAGCCATAGTGCTGGGCAGCCATAGTGCTGGGCAGCCATAGTGCTGGGGCAGCCATAGTACTGGGCAGCCATAGTGCTGGGCAGCCATAGTACTGGGCAGCCATAGTGCTGGGGCAGCCATAGTACTGGGCAGCCATAGTACTGGGCAGCCATAGTGCTGGGCAGCCATAGTGCTGTGGCAGCCATAGTACTGGGCAGCCATAGTGCTGGGCAGCCATAGTACTGGGCAGCCATAGTACTGGGCAGCCATAGTACTGGGCAGCCATAGTGCTGGGCAGCCATAGCACTGGGGCAGCCATAGCACTGGGCAGCCAGCACTGGGCAGCCATAGCACTGGGCAGCCAGCACTGGGCAGCCATAGTGCTGGGCAGCCATAGTACTGGGCAGCCATAGTGCTGGGCAGCCATAGTGCTGGGCAGCCATAGCACTGGGCAGCCATAGCGCTGGGCAGCCAGCACTGGGCAGCCATAGCACTGGGCAGCCAGCACTGGGCAGCCATAGCACTGGGCAGCCATAGCACTGGGCAGCCATAGCACTGGGGCAGCCATAGCACTGGGCAGCCATAGCACTGGGCAGCCAGCACTGGGCAGCCATAGCACTGGGCAGCCAGCACTGGGCAGCCAGCACTGGGCAGCCATAGCACTGGGGCAGCCATAGTACTGGGCAGCCATAGCACTGGGCAGCCAGCACTGGGCAGCCATAGCGCTGGGCAGCCAGCACTGGGCAGCCATAGCACTGGGCAGCCAGCACTGGGCAGCCATAGCACTGGGCAGCCATAGCGCTGGGCAGCCAGCACTGGGCAGCCATAGCACTGGGCAGCCAGCACTGGGCAGCCATAGCACTGGGCAGCCATAGCGCTGGGCAGCCATAGCACTGGGGAATCTAGTATTTATAGGCACAACGCCAGTATGACAATGTATCAGCCAATAGGAAGTGACGGAGCGGGGCGGACCACCTGAGAACACTGGACGAGCAGAGACGACAGTTATACATGATTAAATGAGTGAGCAAGGGACGCTGAAGTGGGTCACCTGGTCTTAAAGTTGACGGCCAGGGAGGGCGGCAGGCAGCGTGGTCACTGCTGGACCATGGTGCCTGACGGCCAGGGAGGGAGGCAGGCAACGTGGTCACTGCTGGACCATGGTGCCTGACGGCCAGGGAGGGCGGCAGGCAGCGTGGTCACTGCTGGACCATGGTGCCTGACGGCCAGGGAGGGCGGCAGGCAGCGTGGTCACTGCTGGCCCATGGTGCCTGACGGCCAGGGAGGGCGGCAGGCAGCGTGGTCACTGCTGGACCATGGTGCCTGACGGCCAGGGAGGGCGGCAGGCAGCGTGGTCACTGCTGGACCATGGTGCCTGACGGCCAGGGAGGGCGGCAGGCAGCGTGGTCACTGCTGGACCATGGTGCCTGACGGCCAGGGAGGGAGGCAGGCAGCGTGGTCACTGCTGGACCATGGTGCCTGACGGCCAGGGAGGGAGACAGGCAGCGTGGTCACTGCTGGACCATGGTGCCTGACGGCCAGGGAGGGAGGCAGGCAGCGTGGTCACTGCTGGACCATGGTGCCTGACGGCCAGGGAGGGCGGCAGGCAGCGTGGTCACTGCTGGACCATGGTGCCTGACGGCCAGGGAGGGCGGCAGGCAGCGTGGTCAGCGTGGTCACTGCTGGACCATGGTGCCTGACGGCCAGGGAGGGCGGCAGGCAGCGTGGTCACTGCTGGACCATGGTGCCTGACGGCCAGGGAGGGAGGCAGGCAGCGTGGTCACTGCTGGACCATGGTGCCTGACGGCCAGGGAGGGCGGCAGGCAGCGTGGTCACTGCTGGACCATGGTGCCTGACGGCCAGGGAGGGCGGCAGGCAGCGTGGTCACTGCTGGACCATGGTGCCTGACGGCCAGGGAGGGCGACAGGCAGCGTGGTCAGCGTGGTCACTGCTGGACCATGGTGCCTGACGGCCAGGGAGGGAGGCAGGCAGCGTGGTCACTGCTGGACCATGGTGCCTGACGGCCAGGGAGGGCGGCAGGCAGCGTGGTCACTGCTGGACCATGGTGCCTGACGGCCAGGGAGGGAGGCAGGCAGCGTGGTCACTGCTGGACCATGGTGCCTGACGGCCAGGGAGGGCGGCAGGCAGCGTGGTCACTGCTGGACCATGGTGCCTGACGGCCAGGGAGGGCGGCAGGCAGCGTGGTCAGCGTGGTCACTGCTGGACCATGGTGCCTGACGGCCAGGGAGGGAGGCAGGCAGCGTGGTCACTGCTGGACCATGGTGCCTGACGGCCAGGGAGGGAGGCAGGCAGCGTGGTCACTGCTGGACCATGGTGCCTGACGGCCAGGGAGGGAGGCAGGCAGCGTGGTCACTGCTGGACCATGGTGCCTGACGGCCAGGGAGGGCGGCAGGCAGCGTGGTCACTGCTGGACCATGGTGCCTGACGGCCAGGGAGGGAGGCAGGCAGCGTGGTCACTGCTGGACCATGGTGCCTGACGGCCAGGGAGGGAGGCAGGCAGCGTGGTCACTGCTGGACCATGGTGCCTGACGGCCAGGGAGGGAGGCAGGCAGCGTGGTCACTGCTGGCCCATGGTGCCTGACGGCCAGGGAGGGAGGCAGGCAGCGTGGTCACTGCTGGACCATGGTGCCTGACGGCCAGGGAGGGAGGCAGTGCCATTTTGATTGTGTTTATCACAATAGTTTATGGCTCTGATAAAGTGGGAGTTGTGTTGGTGTGTGGCAGTACTGCCAGACCCGTCGCCGGGCAGTGCCAGGAACTTATAAATGCGCAGACAGAGTTTCAGTGAACAGTGCCTTCTTTATTGGCAAGCTTGCGTCCAATGTTGTGTTCCAATGTAAACAACGGTGGCCCTATGCGTACATTTCCCTGGTTAGAATCTTCAGTCAACACACACCTGCTATTTTTCTCATAGTGTCGATGAAGACGGCTCATTATTGGTGGCAGTAAACCCGTGTGTACGCTCTCTGGGCGGTGTGTGTAGGTGGGGGCGTGTGTACCCGTGCGGGCCTGGCGTACCACGCCCGTGCCAAGCACTGGCCCTCAGGTGCCAAGCACTGGCCCTCAGGTGCCAAGCACTGGCCCTCAGGTGCCAAGCACTGGCCCTCAGGTGCCAAGCACTGGCCCTCAGGTGCCAAGCACCGGCCCTCAGGTGCCAAGCACTGGCCCTCAGGTGCCAAGCACCGGCCCTCAGGTGCCAAGCACTGGCCCTCAGGTGCCAAGCACTGGCCCTCAGGTGCCAAGCACCGGCCCTCAGGTGCCAAGCACCGGCCCTCAGGTGCCAAGCACCGGCCCTCAGGTGCCAAGCACTGGCCCTCAGGTGCCAAGCACTGGCCGTCATACACATAGTTACGGGGTGTGTATGCAGAGTGGCTCAGGCTAATCTCTCCTGTCTCGGATGTCGCTGTCCGTCTGTCCGCTTCTGCCTGTCTCGTCTCGCCCACGCACTCGACCTTTGGTAAAAAATGTCATGTGACAGAACACGACATCTCCTTCGGAGTGCCTGTCAAGACCACTGAAGTGCCTGTCTTGGGTCTCCCTGGCCCCCGAGGGCTCTTTGGTGGTAGTCACCCTGGCCCCCGAGGGCTCTGTGGTGGTAGTCTCCCTGGCCCCCGAGGGCTCTGTGGTGGTAGTCTCCCTGGCCCCCGAGGGCTCTGTGGTGGTAGTCTCCCTGGCCCCCGAGGGCTCTGTGGTGGTAGTCTCCCTGGCCCCCGAGGGCTCTGTGGTGGTAGTCTCCCTGGCCCCCGAGGGCTCTGTGGTGGTAGTCTCCCTGGCCCCCGAGGGCTCTGTGGTGGTAGTCTCCCTGGCCCCCGAGGGCTCTGTGGTGGTAGTCTCCCTGGCCCCCGAGGGCTCTGTGGTGGTAGTCTCCCTGGCCCCCGAGGGCTCTGTGGTGGTAGTCTCCCTGGCCCCCGAGGGCTCTGTGGTGGTAGTCTCCTTGGCCCCCGAGGGCTCTGTGGTGGTAGTCTCCCTGGCCCCCGAGGGCTCTGTGGTGGTAGTCTCCCTGGCCCCCGAGGGCTCTGTGGTGGTAGTCTCCCTGGCCCCCGAGAGCTCTGTGGTGGTAGTCTCCCTGGCCCCCGAGGGCTCTGTGGTGGTAGTCTCCCTGGCCCCCGAGGGCTCTGTGGTGGTAGTCTCCCTGGCCCCCGAGGGCTCTGTGGTGGTAGTCTCCCTGGCCCCCGAGGGCTCTGTGGTGGTAGTCTCCCTGGCCCCCGAGGGCTCTGGCGGTAGTCTCCCTGGCCCCCGAGGGCTCTGTGGTGGTAGTCTCCCTGGCCCCCGAGGGCTCTGTGGTGGTAGTCCCCCTGGCCCCCGAGGGCTCTGTGGTGGTAGTCTCCCTGGCCCCCGAGGGCTCTGTGGTGGTAGTCTCCTTGGCCCCCGAGGGCTCTGTGGTGGTAGTCTCCTTGGCCCCCGAGGGCTCTGTGGTGGTAGTCTCCCTGGCCCCCGAGGGCTCTGTGGTGGTAGTCTCCCTGGCCCCCGAGGGCTCTGTGGTGGTAGTCTCCTTGGCCCCCGAGGGCTCTGTGGTGGTAGTCTCCCTGGCCCCCGAGGGCTCTGTGGTGGTAGTCTCCCTGGCCCCCGAGGGCTCTGTGGTGGTAGTCTCCCTGGCCCCCGAGGGCTCTGTGGTGGTAGTCTCCCTGGCCCCCGAGGGCTCTGTGGTGGTAGTCTCCCTGGCCCCCGAGGGCTCTGGCGGTAGTCTCCCTGGCCCCCGAGGGCACTGTGGTGGTAGTCTCCCTGGCCCGCGAGGGCTCTGTGGTGGTAGTCTCCCTGGCCCGCGAGGGCTCTGTGGTGGTAGTCTCCCTGGCCCCCGAGGGCTCTGTGGTGGTAGTCTCCCTGGCCCCCGAGGGCACTGTGGTGGTAGTCTCCCTGGCCCGCGAGGGCTCTGTGGTGGTAGTCTCCCTGGCCCGCGAGGGCTCTGTGGTGGTAGTCTCCCTGGCCCCCGAGGGCTCTGTGGTGGTAGTCTCCCTGGCCCCCGAGGGCTCTGTGGTGGTAGTCTCCCTGGCCCTGTTGACTGCTGAGGAATTTGAGTTTGTCCCTAAGTACCTCCGAGGTCGTCTCCAGTATGAGTAAGTGAACAATGCTGTTAATTAAAGCATTAAATAAGACCCTGGCCTGCAAGTACACTCTCCTGTCACGCCATAGATCCAAAATGTCTGAAATTGTCTGGGGAATCGTTAGTATTTGTAAACGGCGGGAGAGCCAAGAGACCAAAGGGTCACTCTTGGTGGTTGGTGATGACATGTCCCTGGAAACACAAACCGAGACTGTCTCTATTTTCCGCTTGTTACAACTTGTAATAAAGTTGTTACATCTTGGCTTAACGTGTTTATGACGTATTAGAACGTTGTTACAACTTGGTATTGGTTGTTATAACTGGTTCGGTGTTACAACTTGTCCGAACGTTGTACCCACGTCGTAGTTTCGGTGTGTGTTTGGCGGGATCCAGCGCCGGAGTGGACTCTGCTGGACACAGCTGGAAGATCTATGGTGACAGTCTTGGCTTCTCTGTCACGCATACCATAAGTGAGGGGGGGGGGTCCAGGCGGCCTTGTTAGTCTTACTGTTATTTCTTAGGTTATTTTCAATATTTTCTATCAGTTTTTCATAATTTAATGTTATTGTGCATTGTAATTTTTCTTCTTGGGTTTATATTTCATAAAAATTAGCCTCAACAAGAATTGTTTCATATAGACTTAACCTGTACCTGATACTGAAACAGCCATTAATATGTTGAAATTGATCTTTTTAAGAACCAATTTAGTATAATTAACTTCTTGTGCTAGATGTCTCGTAAGCTTTGTTATTTCTGTGAATTTGCCTCCTTCAAATTGGTTATCTTGAGATTATCTTGAGATGATTTCGGGGCATTTTAGTGTCCCCGCGGCCCGGTCCTCGACCAGGCCTCCACCCCCAGGAAGCAGCCCGTGACAGCTGACTAACACTCAGCTACCTATTTTACTGCTAGGTAACAGGGGCATAGGGTGAAAGAAACTCTGCCCATTGTTTCTCGACGGCGTCTGGGATCGAACCCAGGACCCCAGGATCACAAGTCCAGCGTGCTGTCCGCTCGGGCGACCGCCTCTGGTGGATACTGGTGGATACAAACAGAATCTATCTTGGCTATTTCAGATGCCCTAATTTTGAGACATAGACAAACAAATACATGCAAGTTTGACTATGATAAAATGGAAGATAAGAGAACTATCAGGAGACAGCACTTAGATAGCTAAGTATGATCATATAGCACTGGGAAGGGGTCAGGATAAGGGTTTGGGATGGGACGGGGGAAAGGAATGGTGCTCAACCACTTAGACGGTATAGGGGATTGAACGTCGACCTGCATGAAGCGAGACCGTCGCTCTATCGTCCAGCCCAAGACATTGGGCATGATAAAATGGAGTTATTGAACAAATAAATGTGTGTAAAATTAGGGCTGCCCCTTTAGAACATATTCAAGAGACAAAGTAGAATTAAAGAAGATCGACATGAAGACCGTATATGGGAAAATTGTTGTTATTTGAAGACTTGTGTGAGAGCAAGACGGTAAAGGGGACCATGAACTGATAAGAGCGAGGGAACCACGGTAACCATTAATGGATAACATGGTTATCTTTCATGGACTTGCCTTCCAATATTGCTTCCATGGACAATCATGGTTATCTTGAGATGATTTCGGGGCTTAGTGTCCCCGCGGCCCGGTCCTCGACCAGGCCTCCACCCCCAGGAAGCAGCCCGTGACAGCTGACTAACACCCAGTTACCTATTTATTGCTAGGTAACAGGGGGGGAGAGCATCAGGGTGAAAGAAACATTTTGCCCATTTGTCTCCGCCTCCACCGGGGATCGAACCCGGAACCTCAGGACTACGAATCCGAAGCACTGTCTACTCAGGCGCCCTAAATCTGTTGAATGGTTAACTAGAATGCTACCCAAGTCATTTTGACAGTTCTCAACCAAAGCCAATCTAAAGATCCACTTCAGTTTAAGGGTAAATATGAAGTATAAGTGGTAAATTAAACAAGAAACAGTTTATTAAAATGAGTCTTTGCTATTATGAAACATTCATGTTATTTTATACTGATTTTTTAACAAATTTAGATCAAATATTTGATTTGGAAAATACAGCACAATGTTATTATATTTGGAGGCCAATAAAGCACAATATGTCAGTGTATATGAAGGCTGAGGAAAACTTTCTCAATAAAATTTGTTGTCAGTGTTGTGGAACAGTGTTCCCTTTAGGTGATGACGTTCTCCACATTGTGTATTGACAGCTGTTGTACTCTCTAGTTCCCTCCTGATGCCATCTCCTTGAGTGCCTTCAATCACATTCTCAGCAATATTTTTTTTTAATATTCTCTGGAGTTTAAAGTGCTTGTAAGACTTTGCTGAAACTTTTTGAGGTTTTGTATTATTCATAAAGGTTTTATTTCTTTCTACTTAAAATAAAATAAATATTGGCAACAGTATTTGTACATAATGCAAGATTTTGTAAGTGTTGTACATAATGCAAGATTTTGTAAGTGTTGTACATAATGCAAGATTTTGTAAGTGTTGTACATAATGCAAGATTTTGTAAGTGTTGTACATAATGCAAGATTTTGTAAGTGTCGTACATAATGCAAGATTTTGTAAGTGTTGTACATAATGCAAGATTTTGTAAGTGTTGTACATAATGCAAGATTTTGTAAGTGTTGTACATAATGCAAGATTTTGTAAGTATTGTACATAATGCAAGATTTTGTAAGTGTCGTACATAATGCAAGATTTTGTAAGTGTTGTACATAATGCAAGATTTTGTAAGTGTTGTACATAATGCAAGATTTTGTAAGTGTGGGCCACTCCTTCCAAGACGGTACACTCTCTGGACAGAACACAATATCTGAAAAATATTCTTAACTGAATAATTTTTTTCCCCCTTATAATTATATTACAAATTGAATTTGTATCTTAGGCAATGTAACTAATAATGTTAACTTCCATGGCTAATATCACGGTGATGAATTTGTGAGAATTCAGGATTATTTTTGGCATTGAGTGGTAATAGTTTTTCTGAGCAGGGGAACCCTTCCCTGTCGTAGTTCAGTCGATTAAGGCAGTGTCTGGGATGCTCCCGGACGCAGGTTCGAATCCTCGTCACGGCCCTTGTGGATTTGTTCAGGGGAACCCTTAGTTGCTCCCCAGAGTCAAGGTCTGGGGTGCACTCAGGTCTCTGCTGGTGTGCCAGGCTCTGAGTGCCACAGAGCCCCCACCAAGACAAATAACTTGAACAATTCTTGCCCTGTAGCATAGAGGAGGGTTGTCACCTTCTCTGACTATGGGAACCCAGTGATCACTTGGAGGGCGGGAGTTACTTGGTGTGTTCTTTGGTGCCAGAGTGAACAGTTTCTCCCGGTGGTGGAGTAAGGTGTGCTGTCTACCAGGTGAGGGAGGAAGGGGACCGACTGGCCCCCCGAGGGCTCTGTGTTGGTAGTCTCCCTAGCCCCCGAGGGCTTTGTGGTGGTAGTCTCCATGGCCCCCGAGGGCTCTGTGGTGGTAGTCTCCATGGCCCCCGAGGGCTCTGTGGTGGTAGTCTCCCTGGCCCCCGAGGGCTCTGTGGTGGTAGTCTCCCTGGCCCCGAGGGCTCTGTGGTGGTAGTCTCCCTGGCCCCCGAGGACTCTGTGGTGGTACTCTCCCTGGCCCCCGAGGTCTCTGTGGTGGTAGTCTCCCTGGCCCCCGAGGGCTCTGTGGTGGTAGTCTCCCTGGCCCCCGAGGGCTCTGTGGTGGTAGTCTCCCTGGCCCCCGAGGGCTCTGTGGTGGTAGTCTCCCTGGCTCCCGAGGGCTTTGTGGTGGTAGTCTCCCTGGCCCCCGAGGGCTCTGTGTTGGTAGTCTCCCTGGCCCCCGAGGGCTTTGTGGTGGTAGTCTCCCTGGCCCCCGAGGGCTCTGTGGCGGTAGTCTCCCTGGCCCCCGAGGGCTCTGTGGTGGTAGTCTCCCTGGCCCCCGAGGGCTTTGTGGTGGTAGTCTCCCTGGCCCCCGAGGGCTCTGTGGCGGTAGTCTCCCTGGCCCCCGAGGGCTCTGTGGTGGTAGTCTCCCTAGCTCCCGAGGGCTCTGTGGTGGTAGTCTCCCTAGCCCCCGAGGGCTCAGTGGTGGTAGTCTCCCTAGCCCCCGAGGGCTCTGTGGTGGTAGTCTCCCTGGCCCCCGAGGGCTCTGTGGTGGTAGTCTCCCTGGCCCCCGAGGGCTTTGTGGTGGTAGTCTCCCTGGCCCCCGAGGGCTCTGTGGCGGTAGTCTGTGGTGGTAGTCTCCCTGGCCCCCGAGGGCTCTGTGGTGGTAGTCTCCCTGGCCCCCGAGGTAGTCTCCCTGGCCCCCGAGGGCTCTGTGGTGGTAGTCTCCCTGGCCCCCGAGGGCTCTGTGGTGGTAGTCTCCCTGGCCCCCGAGGGCTCTGTGGCGGTAGTCTCCCTGGCCCCCGAGGGCTCTGTGGTGGTAGTCTCCCTGGCCCCCGAGGGCTCTGTGGTGGTAGTCTCCCTGGCCCCCGAGGGCTCTGTGGTGGTAGTCTCCCTGGCCCCCGAGGGCTCTGTGGTGGTAGTCTCCCTGGCCCCCGAGGGCTCTGTGGCGGTAGTCTCCCTGGCCCCCGAGGGCTCTGTGGTGGTAGTCTCCCTGGCCCCCGAGGGCTCTGTGGTGGTAGTCTCCCTGGCCCCCGAGGGCTCTGTGGTGGTAGTCTCCCTGGCCCCCGAGGGCTCTGTGGTGGTAGTCTCCCTGGCCCCCGAGGGCTCTGTGGTGGTAGTCTCCCTGGCCCCCGAGGGCTCTGTGATGGTAGTCTCCCTGGCCCCCGAGGGCTCTGTGGTGGTAGTCTCCCTGGCCCCCGAGGGCTCTGTGGTGGTAGTCTCCCTGGCCCCCGAGGGCTCTGTGATGGTAGTCTCCCTGGCCCCCGAGGGCTCTGTGGTGGTAGTCTCCCTGGCCCCCGAGGGCTCTGTGGTGGTAGTCTCCCTGGCCCCCGAGGGCTCTGTGGTGGTAGTCTCCCTGGCCCCCGAGGGCTCTGTGGTGGTAGTCTCCCTGGCCCCCGAGGGCTCTGTGATGGTAGTCTCCCTGGCCCCCGAGGGCTCTGTGGTGGTAGTCTCCCTGGCCCCCGAGGGCTCTGTGGTGGTAGTCTCCCTGGCTGGCCCCCGAGGGCTCTGTGGTGGTAGTCTCCCTGGCCCCCGAGGGCTCTGTGATGGTAGTCTCCCTGGCCCCCGAGGGCTCTGTGGTGGTAGTCTCCCTGGCCCCCGAGGGCTCTGTGGTGGTAGTCTCCCTGGCCCCCGAGGGCTCTGTGATGGTAGTCTCCCTGGCCCCCGAGGGCTCTGTGGTGGTAGTCTCCCTGGCCCCCGAGGGCTCTGAGTGGCAGGAAGGAAGGTACTGGCATAAGGGAAGGGGAAGAAGGATGAGAGGGAGTGGATGACTAGGGGAATGGAAGCAACTTAGCAAGAAGACTAATGATAGGGGGAGATCTTCTAAAAAGCGTCTTGCAAGGATTGTGGAGAGAAAGAGAGTGAGAGTGAGTGAGTGAGAGTGAGTGAGTGAGTGAATGAGAGTGAGTGAGTGAGTGAGTGAGTGAGTGAGTGAATGAGAGTGAGTGAGAGAGTGAGAGAGTGAGAGAGTGAGAGAGTGAGTGAGTGAGTGAGAGTGAGTGAGTGAGTGAGTGAGTGAGTGAGTGAGTGAGTGAGTGAGTGAGTGAGTGAGTGAGTGAGAGAGTGAGTGAGTGAGTGAATGTGAGTGAGTGAATGAGAGTGAGTGAGAGAGTGAGTGAGTGAGTGAGAGAGTGAGTGAGTTAGGGGGGAGCGGTAATGGATAGTGCGCGTCGCTGGATGTATTAGCGTATGAAAGGGAAGAACCCAGATAAATATTCCATTAATTCTTCTCGACTTGGACTGGATGGCTCCGTTACAGTTACTCTGAAGGAAACATTTATGCACCAGTTGTAATTTTAGGAGGAGGGGGGGGGGAGATGGAGAAAATACCCCCCCTTTTCGGGGGAACCAAGTCAAGAAGGTATCTTTTTCTCTATACATACACGAGAGAATATCTGTCAATCTGTCCATTGGTGGGGGCCAGACGCCTAGGGCTAGCCTCACCCAACTTTGCTAGGGGAATGGTCTAGGGTACGGGACGGACATAGGCTGGTGGTGGGGTCGGCACCAGTGCCACACTTTACAAAATATCAAGATGAAGATGGTGAGTAGTGAAGATCGTTATGGTGATGAAGATGGTTACGGTGATGAAGATGGTTACGGTGATGAAGATGGTTACGGTGATGAAGATGGTGAGTAGTGAAGATCGTTACGGTGATGAAGATGGTTACGGTGATGAAGATGGTTATGGTGATGAAGATGGTTACGGTGATGAAGATGGTGAGTAGTGAAGATGGTTACGGTGATGAAGATGGTGAGCAGTGAAGATGGTTACGGTGATGAAGATGGTTACGGTGATGAAGATGGTTATGGTGATGAAGATGGTTACGGTGATGAAGATGGTGAGTAGTGAAGATGGTTACGGTGATGAAGATGGTGAGCAGTGAAGATGGTTACGGTGATGAAGATGGTGAGTAGTGAAGATGGTTATGGTGATTGTATATACAGTGGAGATGATATGTATATGTAGTGAAGAAGTAAGATGAGGGGGGGAAGAGGGGACGGAGAAGGGGGGGGGAATAGAGGAAAGGAGGGACAAGGTTGGTTGTTTGAGAGGAGGACATGTTGGGAAGAGGGAGAAGATGTGGGAAGATGTGAAGAGAGAGAGAGGAGAGGAAAGAGAGGGGAGGGAAGGGGAGAGGGAGAGAGGAAAACGGTGTGGGGGGGGGAGGGAGGGAGACAGACAGACCTGGGCACTTCCGGGTAACCGTCTAGTGTGTGTTATCTTCTTCTTGAGGTTATCTTGAGATGATTTCGGGGCTTTTTAGTGTCCCCGCGGCCCGGTCCTCGACCAGGCCTCCACCCCCAGGAAGCAGCCCGTGACAGCTGACTAACTCCCAGGTACCTATTTACTGCTAGGTAACAATGTGTATATATGTCCTCTTTAGACAGTACCGTTTTGTAACTATGTGAACCATAGTACAAACATTGACTTACTCACCAATTAGATAGTAGAACTTTGTACTATTCACTTTATAGAGGCTGACAAATGAAGCTAAATAACAAACTTCAATATTCCTAGGCCTAGTATAGCACATATATGTACATATTAGGCCTCAGATAGCATGTATTAGGCCTAGGAAGATTAGGTTAGGTTAGTTTGTCTTTGCAATATAATTAGAAAATCGTTTTCCGGTTTGTCCAAATTCAATTGTAACGATTTGTACTTGCTAATTGCGTTGTACGTCGGTATCTGTACTATGGTCCTCGTGGTTACTGTAAGTACTACCACAACAGGAGGCTGGGCTGAGATAAATCTGTATACAAGCCTGGATACGGGAGAGTCACCAGCAGCACTTAAATCAGCAGATATATATATCCTCTGCACAAGGGGGGGGGGGTAGTAAAGCTTTGAGAAAACATTGTAGACTAGTTGCACTAACATCACACATAACAGTTTTTGAAAGAGTGATTAGGAATACAATTTTCAGTTTTATGGAAAATAATGAGCTACACAACCCAGGACAACATGGATTTAGAGCAGGAAGATCCTGTCTCTCACAATTATTCAACTACTATGATAAAATCACAGAAGCCTTAGAATGAAAGCAAAATGCAGATGTTGTATACACAGACTTTGCAAGGACATTCGACAAATGTGACCACGGAGTGATAGCCCATAAAATTAAATCAGTAGGAATAACGGGTAAAGTGGGGCGTTGGGTTTTCAACTTTCTGTCAAACAGAATGCCGAGAGTGATGGTAAATCAAGTAAGATCAAGTCCAAGTGCAATGAAAAGCTCTGTACCCCAGGGCACAGTCCTTGCACCACAGCTGTTTCTTATTCTTATCTCGGATATAGACAAAAATACTAATCACAGCTTCGTGTCATCCTTTGCAGATGATACAAAAATCAGCATGAAAATTGCCACTGTAGAAGACACTGAAAAACTACCGTCAGATCTGTCAGATATTAAAAGTCTTCGTTTGGGCAACTGAAAATAACATGATGTTTAACGGTGATAAGTTCCAAGTACTGAAGTATGATGGCAACGATGAACTTAAAACACAGGGTACAGGACACAATCAGACCTACTCATAGAAGGAAAGCAACATGTAAAAGATCTTGGAATTATGATGTCTGACGACCTGACATTTAGTGAACATAACCGAGCAAATATAGCGGCGGCGGCCAGGAAAATGATAGGATGGAGTATGAGAACGTTCACATCCAGAGACCCCACAGCAATGCTCATACTATTTAAATCATTTGTGTTGTCCCGTCTTGAGTATTACTCGATACTCACTTCACCTTTCAGAGCGAGAGAGATCTCTGAATTAGAGGGAATACAGAGAACATATACGGCACATATAGACACGATAAAACATCAAAATTATTGGGACCGTCTCAAAGCTCTCAACATATACTCTCTGGAAAGGAGACAAGAAATGTATAAAATAGTAAATGTATATAATAATAATTCCATGTATAAAATAATATATACATGGAAGATACTGGAGGGCCAGGTCCCAAATTTGCACAGTAGAATAACAACATAATGGAGCGAAAGATATGGAAGGAAATGCAGAGCAGAACCAGTGAGGAGTGGAGGTGCTATAGGCATTAAGAGGACTGTCTGAACATCAGAGGTCACGGCTGTTCAGAGAAATAATTTTAGAACAACCAGCCTCTTTTGGAGTTACGGGAAGACTATTGACATGGTTCAGGGGTTACCTGAGTAACAGAACCGCCTCAGTCCTATTCCAGGGGGTCAAATGTAAACATTGTGCGCCCTTTGAGTTGGATACACCCCAGGGTGGAGGGCCTAGCCCTACACTGTTTAATGTTTTGATGCACAAATTAACAATTGATATTCCCACACTACCTGACGAAGCCGTCATCTGTTATGCCGATGACATATGAATTGTTGCAAATACCCAAACTAGGCTGCAAGCTCTACTGGATTCACTCGCTGCTAAAAGCATTGAATGTGGTCTTGTTATCTCTATAACTAAATCCAGAGTTCTCCATCCCCAAGAGAAAACTCATGTCCCTATAACTTTCAAGGTCAACAGCCAGAACATTGAAACGTGTGGGCAGCACAAATACCTTGGAGTTGGTATTAACAGTGCCATTGTAAACGATCTACACCGTAGGTTAAAAGACAGACTTAAACCACTGAAAACACTTACTGGTAAGATTATTGGTATCAATATTAAATATGCTAGATTATTCAATATGATGTTTGTTAGATCTCTAGTTGATTATCATGCCTTACACCTAATTAACTTCCCCGCCTCTGTGTTGGACAAACTTGAAGTAGTACAGAATGAGGCCATGAGGATAATTCTTGGTGCCCCAAGATGCACAAGAATCATCAACATGCGGGAAGAACTGAAGCTTCCAACCATACTAGAGAGAATAATGCAAGTTAACACTACCTTTTGCCTTAAAGTCATGAGAGACCCTACATCTCCTGCATTGCTCACAGACAAATTATTTAGTGCTGTTAACACCCTATTGACTGGTGCCGACATACCAACTCACTCCTTTTATGATAAATGGCTGAACAACAATGCTTACAATCTCATCAAACGCAACATTCCTTTTAAGTGCAATCTACCTGTCTCTGATATTCCTCTTTAGTTGTACCCCACAAATCAAGTTTTACTTACACACAGACTATCAGTGTCAGGTTAAACAACGCGCTGACCTCCACACGAACACAACTAGCGGTACTACAACCAGCTTCCAGAATAGGAAAAAAATAGGAGGAAGTAGGGAAAAGCGCCAAGCTATTACGACTATATATCACTTGTAAGTGTTAGGATAAGGATTTGAGATGTGACGGGGGAAAGGAATGGTGCCCAACCACTTGGACGGTCGGGGATGAACGCCGACCTGCATGACGCGAGACCGTCGCCCTACCAAACGTAAGAGGAGGAATAATATTTTATGATTCAAAGTCTGCTCTTCAGGCAATTGAGAACTTGTGGAAGATCGCAGCAAGAACCTCATACTCCCAATTATAAATGACC